TGGCTGAATTTTTGAAATGGTAAAATCTAGTCACTGAAAGACCTGCACCTTCATAAAAAAAACTTTAGGAAAGGAAGAAAAAAATTTTGAATCTGTAGGGACATGAATATTTATACCCACTTATATATCCTTTGTTGGCTTATTTCTGTGCACATGGGAAAGTTTAACAACTTCGTACATAATTTCAAGTACTTTATCCAGTATTTACATTTGAAGGAGGAGAAAAATTTTGCAAAATAGGGTATTATTCCGTTTTTTTTGGAAAGCATTTTATGTCTCTTTAAACATCTCATTTTTTTTTTTCCTAATTCACTATGCTTGCAGTACTTTTCTGGTAATATATTCATGAATTTTCAGAATTTTTACTCCTCTTAAGTGAAAAATCAATCGCTGAATAGACTTTTTTATAGTATATTATCATATTTGCATAATTAAAAATAAATATACACACCGAAATGCCCAAAAAAAATCTAGCTAAATAGAGAGATTGGCTAAAAACAATTTTATCATGTAAAGCAAAATCACTTAAGGGATTGACGTAATTGACTAAATATTAATTTACTAATTATAAAATCAACTTAGACATTCGAAGCCCACATAAGTTATCAAAATGTCAATGAGACTGGAGTTATTTCAATTTAAAACAAATTGATTTTGGAACGTTCCTCAGGGATGCACAAAAAATTTCAAAATTCATGACAGCTTTGTGAACAAGCAGAGTAAGTATAACTGGTCAAATTTGGTGTAATATCAGTAATAATGTTATGGGATCCTTGAGGGTGTCACTTTTCTGGCTAGAAACCTTTGCAGCTGGTGGCACCTTTGCCCAAGTTTTGCCCAGACCCACTGGGCTTGTTCCACCTGCTCGGCCTGGCAGGCTGTGCTTGACTAATGCTACCAGCCTGGATCTCACGCCTGCCAGGGCAACTCAGGCATAAAGTGGCAATGGGTGTGTGAGTGAACGTGGGGTTCGGCCACTGCACAGTCAGACACACTGACTGCTGCAGTGGGGAGGGTGGCTTCAGGTGTTGGCATGGACACCAGCTCTCTGTGAGGCTGTAGCTGGACCAGATGTGCTTTGAGCAGCTCCCACAGCTAGCGCTGTGGAACACGGTGGCACCCAAAAGCTTGGAGATGCCAGGAACCACAGGGGCCCAAAGACAGTGTCACAGCCCTGGCCCAGGGAGCTCCCAGGTCTGGGAATGCTGAAGGACCACAGCTCTTCCCTCCTTCTCTTCACCTGCAACATCATAAGCAAGGGGCATGTTTCTGCCCTGTTGGTGTTACAGCTCTTTTGGCCCTGCCATTTGATGGATCCTAAGTTCTTGTCCTGCTGCCAGGAAGAATGAGGTATGCAAACAAGTGGATGGGGAGCAAGACGAAGAAGAGCTTTACCGATTGATAGGACAGCTCAGAGGAAAGCCACATGGCGTAGCTCCTCTCTGTAGGCAAGATGTCCCAATGAGTGTTCAGCTCTTAACAGAGAAGGCAGCTCCTTTCTGCAGACAGGTTGTCCCAACAAGTGTTCCGTTATCTGCAGAGAGGGTAGGTCCTGTCTGCAGCTGGTGATCCCAATGCCTGCTCAGCTTTGGCTGAGCCCAGGGCTTTTACAGGCCTCAGAGGAAAGAAACTGTGCGTGATTGTTCCATGGGAGGCCATGGGTAGGCCCAGAAAAGGCAACACAAGTTCCCACTCTGGTCAGCGGTATTGGCAGCCTGGCCCCCAGCCTTCAGGGCCTCCCTGCCCTGAAGGTAGGGCCTCACTGGAGACTTGCCCCTGTCAACCCAGGAAGCTGTCTGCCTCCTGCTGCTGTTCATGGAGCCCAGGCTGTAGGTGAGGGGTACCTGCAGGCCAGCAAGGAGCTGCCCTCAACCCCACTTCAGCTTCCCTCCTATGCTTGTTGTTGCCCAAAGTCTATAGGGGGCCGAGGGGGGCAAGGTGCTGGTGTGTTAGCATTGCCTGGAGCATGTGCGCACCTGGGAGGGCTTTGACAGCACCTGGGCTTGGCCCCGACTTTGCTCTGAGATTGGAGTGGGTGCTGACAGCAGGGAGAAGCCAGGCAGCAGGAGTGGGCCCTTCCTAGCCTGTAAAAGCAGGGGCAAGGGGGCCTTCCTGGGCCGCCAGAGATACCTGGATTCACAGCCATGGTTTGGGCAGCTGTAGCTGTGCTGATGGGAGTCAGGGGCAGGTCTCCTGCCTGCTCCTGGGTCCAGGAGCACAGGGATATCTGGGTCCACAGCCATGCATTGGGTGACTGCAGCAGCACCTGAGGAGCCCCTGCCCAAATTTGAAAGGGCAGAGCTCCCACTTTTTCCCGGCTCCCACCAGTCCATGGATCATGCAGTCCCGTCCGTGCCTCGCTTCTGCAGCCACTGTGGTGGCAGCTGCTGCTCCAGGCAGCCTGCTGCTGCCATCAATAACAACAATAAATGTTACAAGTGTGTTGAAACACCTCAATAATCCCAAGGATTACAGAAACGCTCTTAAAAGTAGCCTCTTTCTAAAGCGACACAGGTGAAAGTTACAAGGTGCAAGAGCAACTCAGGAAAACGCCTGGTGGCCATCCCTGTTCCCTAGTGTATGTGTCTTAGGTGATCACAGAGCTGCACCCTTAAGCACCACATTTCCCAGTAACAGCGTGGCTAGGTGTGATCTTGTAATGAGAGTGGAATGTGAGTGGACATGATGTGTCCCACTCCCATTTTTTGACTGGCAGGAGTTTGGACATGAGGGCAGCTCTGAACTCTGTCAGGCCACACGTGCTGAGGATGGCAGAGAAATAGGAGGGACAGAGAGTGGGTCCTGGGTCCCACACACTTTGAAATCACCTCAGGACTTTTATTTTTGGACCTTTATAGGAGAAACAAACTGCTCTCTGAGTTAAGCCACTATTATGTTGATTGTTTAAAAAAGAGAAACCAGAAACCTAACTAATATAGAAAGATTAAAGATGCATAACTAGTTGCCTCCAAGGTACATATTGTTAAATGAACAAAAAGTTCACACAGAATGAAACTCAAGTAACTGTAACCATTGTTTTTAATCCTATTGTTGTAACTGAGTTTGAAGGGAGGACCGATTAATCTTCCTCCAGCTGTCAAGGGCTAACCTGAAGATGTGAGCACATGTGGAGAGGGTACATGCTTGGTTTGAGTTTGGGACACACAAAGAGTTGGAGATAAATTTTGCACATTTCATAATTTTGCCTAGAGCAAACTCTGTAAGTAGATAACACTTTTCAGTAAACTGAACTGTCCGAATGAGCAGAACATTATAGAGACTTTTTAGCACTCATCAAGTGAAGCATTCTGGAAATTATCAAAATCGTTTAAATTCAAAATATTTTTGCACCAACATTTCCTATTCTGTTTTCCTTAACTACTTAGTCACTTCTCCGTGCGTGCAGTTGGAGAGATGAATTATCTTTATCAGTCTCCTGGCCAATGTAACATTTGAACGGAAGCAGGCCTGTGTTTTATATTCAGCATGCATAAATTTAGCTGTGTTTGTCTAATTTTGTTTCCTATGTTTTGGATGGAAAGATGAAGTTTAATCAACAGCGATTGTTGCTGTTCTTATCATAATTGATGGTAATAGTTCCTGTTAATTTCTGAGTATTAGATTTAATCGTAATAGGCAAGACCTCTAGACAGAGGCCACATCTGATGATGTGGCAATCAGGAAATGTTCAGCTTCACTTTTACTTTTCTTGGTCAGGAACCGGGCTGTCATTACTGTTTTTTAGGTCAGTGATGTAATAACAGTAGAAACAAGTTTCCTTAGGCTTGAGCTGTTCATGCTCTGTGGCTTATCACTTAGCTGTCCATGGAGATTCTAAACAGATCAAAAATGAGGTAGGGCACATTCATATATTGTCATTTTTACACATCAAAGATTTTATTGCATTATTCACCAAAGCGAGTTACGCATTGCAGTTCTCATCTCCATGTTTTAGGTAATAAAGTTTACTAATAACATTTTAAAAATTATTTTCATAGAAGGTTTATTTTTTTGCCCCTAGAAAAATGTATGCTACATAACGATTAACCAATAAACTTCTTTTTCTTTTATCCCTGGCTATAGAAAAGAAGACATTTATAAACTATGTGATTGTTCCTGCATCCTATATTAATACTGATCAATTATTTAAAAAAATTCATACAGAGAAAGCCTTAACAATTTCATATCTGAATAAGAAAAAGAGTAATATGGAGAAGATGAAAGTGTCTCTAGAACAGAAAAATACAGTTTTGTTCTTTGAAAAAAGTCTAAATTTTATATTTTCAATAATGATGTTAGTTAACCTATTGTATTAGTCAAGGTTCCCTAGAGGGACAGAACTAATAGGATATATATATATATATATGTATGTAAATATATATCCTAATATACATATATATATACACACATACACATACATATATGTGTGTATATATATATTCACATGTGTGTATCTATACATATATGTATTTGTATGTATATATACACACATGTTTATATATATACGTGTGTATATATGTGTGGATATATACACATGTATATGTGTGTGTATATATACACACACATATATATGTGTTTATATATACACATATATGTGTGTATATATATGTATGTGTGTGTGTATATATATATACACATATATGTGTATGTGTGTATATATATATAAACTCCCCTTTATGTATGTCTCCTTTATATATATATATAAACACATATATATGTGTGTGTGTGTGTACACATATATATAAAGGGGACATGCATAAAGGGAAGTTTATTAAGTATTAACTCACACAATCATAACATCCCACGATAGGCTGTCTGCAAGCTGAGGAGAGTAAGGAGAACCAGCCCCAGTCCCAGAACTGAAGAACTTGGAGTCTGATGTCCAGGGCAGACTTTTTTTTTTTTTCACTGATTATTCAATGTTTATTATAATCCTACTATCAGTCTGCCTCCTAACCCCAGCCTCAGCAACAGGCTTTAAATCCAAAGACTTAAATAGATTTGCCAACATGTCGAAAAGAACCTTTATTACTTTGTATAACTGCCTCTCATGCTTTCTTGCCAGATGCCTTTGGAGCAGGTGCTTTCTGGGCTAGAGTTTTTGACCCTTTTGAGCTTTTGGAGCAGGCGCTGCCTTCTGGCCTGTGACTTTCTGGGCAGGAGCCTTCTGGGCTGGAGCCTTCTTGCCTGCAGCGGTCATCTTTTTTGCTGTGACTTAGCAGCAGCTGCAGCAGCACCCTTAGCAGCAGGCGCTTTTTTGGGAGAAGCTTTCAGGAGAGCTGCCTTTTGAAGCTTCTTAACTTCATTCTTGATTATTCTGTTCCTCATTTTCTTTGCCTTCATAACTTTAAAACGATCAAAACCTGTCATCTTGGCTTTCCTTTCTCTGGCTTCAATCTTCTTGGCCCATCGAGTGGTTGCCCATTTCGTATTGATGTCTGCCTTCTGCCAGGCTTGCCGGACATACTTCTGGTGGGCACTGTGTGGAAACTTGAGGGTGAAATCAGTGAGCTGCATGCACTTGAAAGGCATGGCCTGTCTCCTCACCTGAGTGCAAGGTCCATCAACCAAAGCCCTGGTAGGCTGGGAGGCTAGACCAGTCTTGTCCTTTCACGTTTTTCTACCTACTTTTTATATTCTAGCCATGCTGGAAGCTGATCAGACGGTGCCCACCCAGATTAAAGGTGGGTCTCCCTTTCCCAGCCCACTGATTCAAATGTTAATCTCCTTGGCAAAGCCCTCTCAGACACACCCAGGATCAATACTTTGTATCCTTCAATCCAATAAAGTTGACACTCATTATTAACCATCACACCTATGTTACTAATAAGCCAGCTACAAATGAAGTGTTTTTCCCATAGTTTTTATAGTATAACATAGAAACATCTAGTATATATTATATTCTGAAACTTACGTTATTAAATTGCTGATACTTGTTGCTTGTGTTTAAAAGATTTTCAGGAATACCTAGAAATATGCTCTCTTAGAGTTGTTTGGGTACAAAAGACCAAATCCAAATCTGATCAGTTCAAACTATAAAAGAATGTTTTGGGAAGATGTGGACCATTTCACCAAAGTGATAAGGCAACTGATCAACCAGGCTTTGGAAATAGCAGGAAGTGAGTATCTCATAAAATCCAGATAATGGGACCGATTGACAGTATTTTTTTTCTAAATAATATGATCAAGATAAACTGCCATCAATATTTCAATGTTTTTTCAAAAAAATGAAATACGTTATTTTAGTCAGTTATCGTCACATAACATTACATAATAAAACAATAAAATCTCAGTGGCATACGCAATTGTATCAGTCAGGGTTTTGGAGTTCAGCAGAACCCGTAGAATATCTATTTATGTGTACGCATATTTTAAGAATCCACTTAAACAAATTGGCTTATGCAATTGTGTGGGCTGACAAATCCAAACTCCATAGGGTAGGCTGGCAGGATGGAAACTCTTGGGCAGGAGTTGGTGCTGCCGACTTGAAACAGAATTTCTTTATCAGAGAAACCTCAGTGTTTGCTTTTAAGGCCTTTCAGTGATTGCATGAGGACTACCCACATTATTGAGAATAATCTTCTATACTTAAAACCAAGTGATTTCATATGCTAACCACATCAAAATACCTCCACAAGAACACCTAGACTAATGTGTGATGAAATAACTGGGCACTATAACCTATTCAAGTTGACATATAAAAGTAACCACCACAGCTCACCCTTTGTCAACGTGGCACTCATATATATCCAGTTAAACCTACTTTACCTCCAAATGAAAACCATCACAAAGTCATCATTCTAAGGATCAGGATACAACAATCCTTTGTATAATCGAACACACACTAATTATTTACCTAGAAGGGGATGCAAATCCTTTGGTAATGTTCATTCTTCTCCTTGATATGCTTTAATCTAAATGCTGTGATGTAAAGTTAACCATTATTAATAAATCTTATGTTAGATGATAAGGCAATAAAGGAGGGAAGAAAACAAAGATATTTGATATGTGTTATACATAGATGTATAAACATATAAAAATATAAATATGTTTATAAGTATACATGCACATACAGTAAAGTTTATAACAACATGAGAAAGAAATAATTACAGTCCTCACTTTTGCAGCTGATCATGCAGTGGTAGCTGGTATTAATAAACACCTTTTTCCACTACACATTCCTTATTCCCTGTGTCCTCAGTAAACACCTCAGCTGGTCGTAGTTCTTTACCTGGTGAGATAACCCAAACCTTCATTCCTGAAGTGTCTGGGCCATTAATAGTCCCTGCCTGAATGGGGTCATTGTAGTTTTCCATTGGCGTGAATCACAAGCGTGGTAAGGCACACCTCAGGAATCTCCTGTACACACTCTTGCTCATCTCCATGCCGGAGTAGCCCAATTTCCCGTTAGTAGTCAGTATCAATCACCGCTTTCAGTGGAGTAACTCATTTCTTTGCATGTTGATTCAGAAGCAAGTGGAGTCCAAAGTGGCTGGGAGTGTCTCAACTTCCAGTTCAATGAAATCATTGTTGGGTCTCCTCATGGAATCATTCTTCATTGTGGAATGCAGACCTCTAAACCATAAGAGAATAAGGTCATAGGTACAGGAAACAAGTTTTGCTAGCAACTAGGGAGAAATACTGAGAGATATTACCCTCATTTCCTAAACTCATGAATTCTGATAATGGGAGAAACAGCACCATATACTGAGCATATATAGCTTCCTGGAGAACTTTGACTCAGCCCTGCAAGGAAATGCCACCTAGCTGATGCCATAACTGAGTTTTCAAAAGGCCATTCCACTGTTCTATCAGGCCAGCTTCTTTAAGATGGTGGGAAACATGGTAGGACCAGTGAATTTTATGAATGTGCACCCACTGCTGCACTTTATTTGCTATGAAGTAAGTGCCTTGATCAGAAGAAAACTTGTATGGAATATTATGACAGTGAATAATGCATTCTGTAAATCCACAGATGGCAGTTTTAGCAAAAGCGTTGTGTATAGGGAAGGCAAATCCGTAACCAAAATAAATGCCTATTGTAGTAGGCACAACATGCTGGCCTTTCCATGATGTAAGTGTGGGTCAATACAATACCTGGCTTATCACTCTGGGGAGTGATGCCATACTGGGGCCTCCGTGTTGGTCTGTGCTGCTGACAAATCGGACATTCAGCCTTGACTGTAACCACATTGGCCTTGATGAGTGGAAGTCCATGCTGATGAGCCCATACATAACCCAATCCCTGCCTCTCTGTTCATGAGCCCGGTGGGCAATGACAGGGGTGGCTAGGGTATGAAACTGACCAGTGTCCATGGAATGGCTCTCCACTTGAATATTAAACCTTTTTCTGCCTAGCTTACCCTTTGGTGAGAATTTTCATGGGCAAATATCTTCACCTGTTTTGCACATTGAGAAAGGTGTATCCCCATAAGTCTTCCACGGATTTTCTCATCACAATTATTTTAATCATGTTCCTTGCAAGTTCCTGGCCATCCAAGAGGACCTAATTGCTACAGCTCATAAACCTGCATGCACCTGTAGCCCATTTCATCTTCTTTTTTCTTATACCACAAAGCCTTTATTTTATTGCGTTAAAAACATTTTTTTGTATATAAAGTATACAACATAATGTTATGAGATACATATAGAGAGTAAAATGGGCACGTGTTCATTGTAACATTATTCATTTACCATAGCCAAGAAGTGGAAAAAACCTAGGTGTTCATCAATGGCCAACTGAATAAAGAAACTGTGATGTATATATATAATATAAATATATGTAAATATAAATATAAATATATATATATAATATAAATATATACACACATATAAAAATACACATATATATCCTGTGTATATCCTATATATATTGCATATATATATATATGTCTGTGTGTGTATATATATACATGTCTATATATATAGCAAGGTGTATATCTATATATATATAGACACATATATATATATGCACATACATATACCTACATACATATACATACGTACATATGTATACATACATATACACACACACACACACACATACATACATATATATATACACACACATACATAGATCTCCCAGAGAATTTCCCTTCACTGTGTCTTTCAGGGAAGTCCCAGAAAGGGGGTGTGTGTGTGTATATATATATATATATATATATCCATCCCCAATATATATCCCATATATATATGCCATATTTCCCAGAGAATTTCCCTTCACTCTGTCTTTTGAGGGAAGTCCCAGAAAGGGCGTATATAAATGTGTGTGTGTATATATATACACACACACACACATATATATATATATATACACACACACATATATATATACACACACACATATATATATATATATATACACACACACATATATATATATATACACACACACATATATATATATATACACACACACATATATATATATACACACACACATATA